TACACTTAATGCCCTTTTAAAATATCACCTTACACAGAGCACCTGAAGGTTATCCGCAAAGAGAACCCTCCCTTCCATTTCCAGGGGAATACAGTCAACCAATTACTACTACACAGTGCACTTACAGTCCAACCATTGAACAAGAGAAGGCAAACAAACAAAACCAGCACACTGCTGAAAGCAAAGGCTTCACTTACCTTTCTCTCCATCTGAAATTAGATCTCGTTCTCCCTTTTGAACCACTGTCAAATTCCCCATGGCTTGGCTGAGTCTTAACACACATCCATGATGATCACTACTGTCTACAGGGTCTCTAAGCTACAACACAAGAATTCCAGACACAGAACATATTTTACTACTAGAACAAAATAATCCAACACATGTGACTTCTGTGAGCAAAAAACAGAAAGTATTGCCATCTCTCTGTCCTGCTATTTTTATACTATACTCATTCTGAAATGCCAAAAAAGCTTAAGAAAGGGACTTTTTAAAAAGAGCTCAATTTAAGAATGTGCACTGCTGTGGTGGCAATTATCTCATGGAATCAAAACCTATGCAATGTTTCTCTCAGATATAAGAAAGAGCATATAATATTTAACCTAGCAAAAAGACGTTTACTTTTAAAGACTACAAGATTAATTTTGCATGTTTTAACCATCAAAAAGGAAAATAGCTCACCATGGCTTCATATAGTCTGCTAAACTCCATGTAGTTTGGAGTCAGAATAGCTCTCTGGTAGCCTTGAATAAGAGAAGGCTGCTGGGAAATGAGCCACAGTCCATCCTGCAAAAACCAGTAAGACAAACATTTACTAAATAGATTCTTAAATGACAAATTACTGAATTAACCAAAAAAGTACTTACAGCATCAATAATGATTGGAATTCCTTTGATCTTCGCTTTTTCTATAATACCCTGCAAGAAATAAAGATAACTAAGATGTTTGCTAATTTAACTCTCAGAAGGTCCAGGAGAAATCTAGCCTTTTCTTCTTATCAAAAGGGAACTCTACAACAAATCTAGTCTTTTTTTTTTTT